CCCCCCGGCCGCCCATCCGGTTCAGCCCCACAAAAGGACAGCGCCCACCATCGTCAAACCATAGCCGAGTGCATTCGAAAGCTAAGCGCACCGCGCAATGCAAGGGCGTCATCGGTGGCATCATCCTGCGACACAGGGGCGGCAAGTTCATGCATACCCAAATTGATGGGGCGCTCATTGTCGTCGAAGTCCCTGTCAACGAGCAGACGCTCGCCAGATTCGATGCCAACGTCGATCAGCAAGTTGTGCAAAATATACACAGCGGTGAATTGCTGGGGCAGATTCTCCATGTTCGTCTTGTGTTGGCCCAGAAATAGCCGCCACATCCCCTTCAGTCTCCCAAATTCTCGTTCGACAACATTTCGTGATGACTTGTGACATGTGTCGAAATGTGCCTCGTTGGGAGGTTGCACCACACCACCGTAAGGCACTACAAGCAAGGGTAAGGGTCCATAGTCGTTGCCCGCGAGCACGTACCCCCTCGTTCGCACCCCGTATGGCAGGTCCACCGCATCTGCCAAGAACAATGTGCCAACTTCCACACGTCTATGGAGCAACGAATTGATCAAAACCCTGGCGTCGTGGACGCTGCCCGAATACCCCACATAAACATCCAGCACAAACATATCGAGGTCGACGGCGACTTGAGCAATGACAAAGTATTGTTGCTTTCGATCGAAATAGTTTTCCACTGGCGCATTTGTTGGCTTGTCGACGTACACATGACTGTAGTCCATGCAACCGAAACAATTTGGGAATCCCTTTGCTGCAAACACTCGTGCAACCTGCAGCAACCGCCGAGCGGTCAGCATCCGTATCTTGTCAGGATACGCGGACAAGATAGGGTTCGTCATGTCCCTCACCGCCTTGATACCACTCGACTGCCCCATTCCGAATGACGACATTGCACTTTCAAACGCCTCGCCGCTCGCCCACCTGTACAGAGCGAACGCCACTAACTGCTCTGGCAGCAAAGGAGTGCGGTAATGAGCGAGGGACCATTGAAGAAAAGGAGTGCACGCAGCCACAATGTCGTAGAACGCCCCTCTGGTCATTCGCAGCTTCTCATGGAAATGTCGTCGGTGGCGTCATCGTCAATTATAAGATCTTGCCATGTTCCGCTGGTTCTCCTCCTGATCCACCATCGTCCCTAGGAAGGACTCCCAACACAATGGCATTCGCCATAAGGAAAGCCGCATCCCAAATCACGGCGGAGGAATTCAAATCCGCCATGGCGTGTGTAACCATGGCCTCCCTCATCCCTGTTCTTCTTGCCGCACCGCGCCGCAATGCCGCTGTGTGCTGCAGATGTGTCCACATGGCGAGCAACGCTGTAACCACCAGGCGTTTCTCACGCTCGGACAGTTTTCGCCGACGCTGTGCAGAGCCGTCCGCCGCCACAGACGAAAATTGTATGTCCTCCATGGACAAGAGCTATGGCACTTCACTCACCGCACGGCGCAACGAACACCTTTCGGGGAAAGGAAACTGGCGGCGGTGTCCACTGCACTCACACGTGTCCAAGTGCAGTACAAGCCCGTGTTCACTTCCGCGCACGTGGCAATTCTGTAGGCTGAGGAGCGCTGCACTGTACCCCCAACAAATTTCAAATTTGAAAACCCACTGCGCGCGCGCTCCTACACTGCACCTCGCCCCGAACGGTCCCTAGAGTCCCAAACAGCACACCGTAGGCGGACATATTGAAGGCCGGGTGCTGGCCTACTGGATCGAAAACCCGCCAGTGGGTCTCCACACAATGGGGAGCCAGGGTGTTTTCCTTTCAAGTGCGACATTTTCAATTGTGGTATCTAGTGCGCATGGAACGAGGAGGCGGCGTAGTGCATATTAATCACGATTTCGCGATTAGGGCGCGCTTGAAACTCGAGAGTTCTCAAGTGGTGTGGAACGAGGCTCCAAGAGCCTCGTTAGATACCACTTGAAAATACTTGAGTTTCAAGTGCACACTAAATGAGAAATTGTGATTAATTTACACTTACTCGATTTATGGTTCCATGTACACTTGAAGAAACCCTTGAACAGGCTGCAATTGAAACAGAACTCCACGGCTTGACCAACCCTGGACCAAAATCGTCTGCTGGAAAAAAGAAAAACAAAAAAAAGCCCCACTTGGAGTGCTGGTGGTATCCGCTGGCACTTGAACTCAAGGTACCTCCGGGAGGTACCTTGAGTTCAAGTACGATTTTGCTGCAGCGGCACTTGAGTTTCAAGTATGCACACTTGAGAGCAGAAAAGTGAAAACATTACGGCGGGGTCATTAGGGAGGGGTGGAATGAAGAATTTTCCATCAACCCTTGAGTTCAAGTGGTGTCGAATGAGACCCTAACAGTTAGATCTAGTGCGTCCAAAGCATTCCTCGGCACGGTACCACACATGCTTGAAAGCTACTCCATCTAACAGCTACGGCAGTGGGGGTGGCCTCTAGAACGTGGTGGGCCATGTACTTTCCCGAGGCATTTGGCACCAGGCATATGTCCGCAGCCATCAGATGACCGACTCAGAGGCTCACTACCTTTTTTTTTTTTCCAATGTTGGTCGGGTTTGATCATCACCCGCTGAATAATTGCAGTCAACTGGGTAAAAGACAGTTTTTTTTAAGCTCGGACTTCTCCTTCCACAGCCCTAGCTAGGCTTGGAAATTAGAACCTCTTGGCCTGTTTCTTCCTTTTTTTTTGGGGGAAAATTTCTTCCTTTTTGTTCTTTTTCACTGACTCATTTTCATTTCCATTTCACTGATTTTGTTGTTGCTTTCTCAACTGTATTCCCCACCAAGCGCCCCACAGATTTCCACTGCATCTATCTAGGACACGGTTTCTGTAGACCAGTGCCACCTTGCTTGAAAGCTCCTCGAGCGCCATGGCTTTGTGGAACCAGGCTCTGGGACCTGGCCCACCGAAAAGCGGTAGTGGAGTTCTGAGCAGAGAATCACTGGGCAAGACTTCAAAAACAAAAGGAAAACAAGAAGTTAGCACTCAGATGATCCTTTATGGCAACTGATGATAACTCAAGATCTGGAAGTTGAAACCATCGAGAAAACCCTCCGCAATGAAGGAATCTTTGGGGGGAAAGGAATCACACTTGCGTCCTGAAGAATCACTCTTTGCTTCGGGATGATCAATCAATCATTAGTCTGGAATAACTGAAGTAGATCTGAGAATGAATGGCGTTACCAGCCTGAGGAGTACTTTACCCCTCTACAAGGGAACCTTCTCTACGGGGCACTGTTCTGACAAGGACAAGCAGTTGGTTAGAGCTCTGGCAGCACAAGCAAGAGGTTGTTGGTTCAATTCCAGCAGGCCCTCACCCTCTTGTGTGTATTCTTTGTTTTGATTCTGGCAACCCCTCACTATCTTGTGCACATACTTTGTTGGCCGCCACGCACTCGTCCCCTAACCTAGCACAGCGGATAGAACCTTGGGGAAGTGCTTAGGGAGCACTGCTTGATGGCGTATCATCACGAAGAGATCTAGATGGGGGGAACAGATCAGGGGTTAGGTGGAAACACTGCCGTATGGGGTTCCACTGGCAAAGGCTGAGAGAGAACCGAGCGAGAAAATGGAAGTTTTGAGGTATCCACGCTTTCAAAAAAAAAAAAAAAAAAAAAAAGCTCTGACAAGGGCCTCCTGAACAAGTGTGCTCTGGCGAATGGGGAGGATGCTGTCTGCTGAGGCCCTACCTCCACCACTGACGCCCCCCAGCAAATTGCCTGTCCACTGTCAGTGACATGTGGGTAATCTTGGATAAAAACATTGGCAAGCATCTTTTTGAAAGATCAGACAAAAGTGCTTGTTATGGTGATGGCTAGGATTTGATGTCAGGTGGGAAGGTTTATCCTCTGTGGAGGTGGGATCTTCTTTTGTGGGGGGGAGGGGCTAAGTAATTTCGATTTTATTTAGCCTGCCTTTCTTCTTTCTGATGTATTTCAGTCTTTGGAGTTCCAGTGTTGTATTAGCCTCAGAGTTCAATTCTTTTTCGTTCAAACTCACCTTCTCTTTTATTGGGCTAGGTTCTCATTTTTCTTCAACTGGCTATAATGTTTGGCCTTAGTCACAGTTCCGGTAACCCATTCAGAATTTCAAGCTTTGTTCTCTTTTTCATCTGTTTCTTCTAGCCACTGTCACCATTCTGGTGACCCTGTGATAAGTCAAGCTTCGTACCTCGCGGCTTCATGTACCCTTCGGTCTAAAACCCAAAGCAAGCCCCGAAGTACGGTTCTTGACAAATTACAGGAAATGGTGGCCAGCGCATCGGTCCCCCAAGGGGACCTTCATGGCCGTCTCACGCAGCATTTTTGCGGGACTTCTTTTCCCAAAGCGGTGCCGCTCCGGCCGAGTGCCCCAGCCGTACCTCTCACAAACCCCTACGATAGGATAGAGGTCACACGAGGCACAACTTACCTCTACGCAAGGGGTTGTCACCACCCTTAGGTAGGCATATCCCCGTCGAGCTTCCGAACCACGTGCGAAAGCTTCTCAAGTGCAATCGCAAGGGTGACCCAGCCAAGGGCGTTTCTCGTTCGCTGTGGCATAGGGGATACGCGAGGTCGAATGCCTTAATCAGACCCGCGCGCGAACCGACGCTCAGGGGGCTGATTTCCCAATGCCGGTCCTACGCCGGACGACCAGGACGACCAATCTAACCATGGGATACACTTTACAAAATAAAACCAAACTTAATACGTTAATCGCGCTTTGTCCTTTATTCACTTTCGACCTAGGCTATTTCCCGGGCGGCCAGGGTCCTTGAAGCCCGCCTGGGTGGCCCCCAGATGGCCCGTCCCAACCCCCCCCACCCGAAGCACCACATGCAAGCTCAACACACTTTAGCGCCAGGCCATTTCGACCCCCTGGAGGCTGCTACCAGGCCTCCCGCATGCAAAGGAAGGGCCGACAAAAATATTTGGGTCTGCCTTTGCACCAATAGGCCTGTTTTATGCATTTTCCAGCGGTCCGATTTGGGCCATTGATCTTCAATGATCAGCGACCCAGATCGGGGCGCAAGAAAATGTAGCAGCAGGTCGTGTCGTGCTTTCCCGTTGTCCTCCCTCGCACCATGCTTTGCCGTTGCCTTTCTTCGCACCGTGCTTTGCCGTTGTCATCCTCACCACGTTTTCCCATTGTCGTCCTCGCCGTGCTTTCCCATTGTTGTCATCGCCATCGGCCATCTCCCAGAGTTGCACGCCGTTGTTGGACCAAATACCTTTACAAGGGTATTTGGCCATGCCTTTGCAGTCGACACAGCGGCGACATCGGCCACCATGATGGGGCCGGTCTGAAATGAAAAGGGTGTGCGTGCTTTAGCTTGACACTTGAAACGATTTCATCAGCCATTGAGGCCGGGGCAAATCGATGAAAAAAATTGTTAAGTACGCGCGTGCATTTTTGTGGCGCGTGCTCTGATGGTTAAAATCAATAGTAATACCCTTCGACCGAAGAGGTCGAGTGGTCGGTTGGGTTAGTGCTATGTTGGGTAGATCTACGACACACGCTGTGACTTAATCATCGGTACGTTATTCATGATAAATTAATATACGCCCCGGCCATATGCCGAGACGATTAAAAATGCGTGATCAACGAAATTGCAATAACACCCGGAAATGCTAACGCTTGCCCGAGCGGCATGTCGTGCAAACTTGTATTCGACAACCTAAGGCTGAAGCTACCGCTCGACCTCCTATGTGTAGAAAGGGATTTGCCTCACTCGTGGTTAATAGGTAGTATAATTTTCGACGAATTTTTCACTGAAACTGCCATATTTCCTTCAATTTTTGCTTTTTTTTTTTTTTTTTTTTTTGTCTTATATGTATAAACTTTAGGGTATATCTGTATTCAGTTTCGGCGTAATTGGACGAGTAACGAAATTTGGGAAACGTTTTGGCGAACTTCGAAAGCTACTGCGAATAGAGTTTTATAGTGCTGTTCAATTTTTTTTTTTTTTTTTTTTTTTGCTTGTTTGGTTTTTGATGTTTGTATTATGAGCCTGCATAGTTTGTTTGCAAGAGTTTCAACGATGTTGCTTGCAGTGATGTGGCGAAAAACCCCGAATTTTGGGTCTTCCATTAACTGCGTGTCCTTTTGGGCGGTGATTTTTTGACCGTGTGGCCACCCAAGCAGCAGGTGTTTTCGTCCCTTTCGAAGGGAAACATCATTACAAACTCTGATATCGCTCGTACAAGCCTTAGACTCAAGCTACTTGAACTAGTACCCGCCTACCTACCGGTAGTGGGCCTCTAAAAATGCCAACTTTTGTCTCCTTCTGCTCAGCCTCGAGTACCCGACACTTCTAGCTTTACTTGGTGTGGTACTGGCCTACCTGCCACTTGAATGTTTTCCCCACCGTAACCCTCAATGTCGCGGTCACAACTAAGTACCAGACCTTTGGGCCTTCCCATCAACCAAATGCCCTTGCGGGTCACACACACAGTCAAGTCGACAAACACTAAGACAGGCATGCAGACCGACAAGCGTGCACACGCCCGAACTTAGGAACGGGTTCGGGTCACTAGGTGGGTTGAGCCCCAATCCTCTACACATACCTGAGCGACTCCTCTCTTAACCAGAGTAGGAGCTAGCTCTGTACATTTAGGTGTGAGTTATTAAACAATGGATGCAGG